TCAGCCGGGGACTGGCAGTGCTGGGTGGGCTGACCCAGGCTGGAGACGCGGGGGGGGGCCAGACTGGGCCGTGTCTCCTCCCCCCACACTCCCCTTACCTGCTTCAGGCTTCCCGCTAATCAAATATTCGCGGGAAGCAGGGGAGGGGGCGGAGTTGGGCAGGGACTTTGGGGAAGGGGCGGAGTTGGGGGCGGGGGCGGGGCCCCATGGAGTGTCCTCCTTTTGGAGCCTTAAAATATGGTAACCCTAACACTGGTAAATTCTGGCTCCTTCTCAGGCTCAGGTTGGCCACCCCTGACTTAGGCAGTTCCCTCCACTTTTAAAAATGTCTTTCCATTCTTTTGCCTTTACTACCCGGACACCTTATCCCATTTCCCTTGGTGAATGCTGTGACCAGCTGACATTGATTCAGCAAAGGTCTTAAGCAAGTGCCTCGCTTGGGACTACTTACATTCATTTTTAAAGAGCTGCACATGCTTAGGTACCTTGCTGAACAGGGATTTAAAGGGGGCTTGTTTTTAGTTTATCCTCCCCATCAGGCTGCAGCATCCAAGCCTTTCAGCTGCCTTCACCTGATGGGAGTGTAATAACGCAAGATACCCAACAGCCCCATCTGTGACACAGCACTGCTCATCTTCTTTCACACCCCTACAGGAATCTTTAGATCAAAAGCTTCTTGGATTTACAGGCTGTGGGCCGGATTTGTAAAGATAGTTAAGCATTGCTGTGCTCAGCATTGCAATGTCTAACTCATTGAGGAGCCTAGATCTCATTTTTAACTGGGATTTAAGCACTTAGGAGCCTAAATCCTATTGACAGTTGATGGGGTTTAGGCTCCTAAATGCTTCTATCCCTTTTGAAAATGAGATTTAGGCTTCTAAATTAGTTAGGTGTTGCAGGGCCAAATACATTGATGGAGCACCATGGAACAACAGTTATACGCACCTAGGAGTTACTGCCCTTCATCATTCAAAGACCTTTACCATAGCCTAGGATAAGGGTTGTGATTTAAAAAAACAAAACAAAAAAGTGGAGATATCCTATCTCCTAGAACTAGAAGGGACTTTGAAAGGTCATTGAGTCCAGCCCCCTGCCTTCACTAGCAGGACCAAGTACTGATTTTTGCCCCAGATTCCTAAGTGGCCCTCTCAAGGATTGAATTTGTAATTCTGGGTTTAGGAGGCCAATGCTCAAACAACTGAGCTATCCCTCCCCCACAACATACAGCCTACTGCTGGCCAGTAGATAAGGTGCACAATTTTTTTGGTGAGAGGGAGGCATTATTAAAACCCAGAACAACAATGAAAACCTAAGAGGAGATGTTTTCATTGCTAGCTCATTCCTTTCTACATCCTTGCACTGGAATGCAGTGGTGCATGGGAAACAGCCTTGGGCTTGACAGACAAGACCAGGGGGACAAAATACTCACTTGCAAATGGACTGCTTCTATTGTACACTGGCATGTTCAGTTTCTGCACCCCATGTCTACAGCTTAGCAGATTTAGATGAAATCTCAGGGAAAAACTTCCTAACTGCAAGAACAGTAGGACAATGGACAGACTGCCGAGGGAGGCTGTAGAATCTCCTTCACTGTGGTTTACAAAAGGAGGCTGGAGCCATCTGTCTTGGATGGTTTAGATACAACAAATCCTACATCTTGGCAGGGGGGTTAGACTAGAGGGGCCTTTGGCCCCTTCTACCCATAAGATTCTATGTAATTACAGAACTTGGGAGTTTCATTTCCATACAAAAGATATTGCTGAAACACTTCTTGGAACATCACGCCATCTATAAGTTTGCTCTCTTCGTTAAAGTTACACTTGCTGATGTATGAGGTGGGTTTTTTTGAACTGCTAAAATATAAAGCAGTTTTCTTTCTCTTTGTTTAAACAGGGTGGAGAGGGCTGGGCTGGGCAAGGTTAGTGTGGCAGAATACAACTTTTGCAATACATAAGCATTCTGTCAGCAATTACAACATCCAAAGTTCCTTATTCACTTACCAGGAAGTGCCTTGTGTCAGCATCGTCTTGCTGGGCAAGTCTGTAAATAGATTCTCCTTCAGAACACTCACTCAGAGCACCACCCTGTTCCATTTCTCTCTCCCCCACCAACCACCTTCACCTTATATGATCTGATCTAAAGATAAAAAGGCCCAGTTCCTCAAAGGTTACAAATCACAGGACTTCAATGCAGTCAAATGCTACGCTGATTTACAGCAGGATGTTGCCCAACATGAATTTCCTGGACAATACCAGCCCTAGTTCCAACAAAGACAAGTCAGCTCTTCAGATATTAAGTTTTTGGTGAAGAGCAGTTTTCTGCAAATCACTTAACAAAATTAAATAAAACCAACCCACCACAATAGCTATTCTTTGGTGACAATAGCCTCCACTTGTTCCTGCTTACCATAAACTATGAACTGGCTCTGGTTTGCTTAAAAACTGCAAAAAAAAAAAAAATCCCATAGATAACTTACCAAACTTCTTCTAAAAGATTCTAAAAATGCAGCAATCTCTGGGGTGGAACCCAGAAGCTATTTTAACAGCGCTCAGTCACACTACACAATCGTCTAGTACAGACAGAGAATAATAGCTAATTGAAATTGCTGGGGAAATTTCAGGAGGCAGGATGTAAAATAAAACTGTTACAGAAAGAACCAAATACATTTATTAATTGATCTTGTACAGCGGTTCTGTTACATATCATTTAAAATGATTATAAAAACATTCAGAGAAGAAAACAATTGTGTAAAAAGTTCAGTATAATTAACATGCTCAAAATTCTGTGTTGAGTAAAGACTCTGGACCCTAACTTGATCATTTAGATAAACACACAATATTAGCTTAGTCTTCCCAACCTATACTGATGAATAGGTACCACATATACGCTAACCATTATTATGGGTAGGGTACAAAATGCATAGATGATTACTAGGGTCTACAGCAGGAGGGATTTGTCCATGTTCCCTTTTCAACAATAATTTTATATATAGTAATCATGAATACCACCAACTTCTCACATTATAAAGTGAAGACATAAATACAAGCTAATTTGAATGTCCTACTTTGGCACCCAATGAAGAAGCATCAGATAGCTAAGGGTACACCAGAAAATACTTTCAGGGTGGCATTAGAGTTGATTGGACCCTGATCATATACACTGTTAAAGTATATTTTATGCACCATGCAGTGTCAACAGTGAACACCTAGACCCTTTATATGACAATGAATCCAGTGTAATACAAAGATGCTTTGATGTGATCTTCTGCTTTACTGGGAGAAAGATTCCTCAGTCATACATATCAATAAAGAGATCAGTACTGATTTTCAATTCCCCATGTCACTTGCTGGGGCGAAAATTCTAGTTCTCAGTAGAAGTGGGTTTGTTTGGCGAGTAAATTACATAGCTGGAGGGTTAGCAATACTCAAAGTACTGAAATACTGATAGCTATGAATGGATTCTAGTAGAAAAAAGCCCTGAATGTGACTGATTGATTGTAGTTACTCACCAGCACAAACGAGTGTTGTAAATAACAGAGAAGGAGCTAAACAGAGGTCAAAATATTTTTTTAAAAATTAGTAATCACTGATTTCATTGTAACAAAATCTGTAATAAGACATTAACTCTAACATTTGTATAGGTTTTTAGTTGTATGGCTCCTTATGGCGTAATCGCGCACTCCAGTCTCAAGCGAGACTACCTCTGATGGCATTTTCCAAGAGAATTTCCATTGACATCAATGGGAGTTATGCCTGAGTAAGAACCACAGGACTGGACCCACTGATAGAAGTCTTTGTGGTTGAATCCCTGAATGGCTGTTTTACAAAGGGCCAAATTCTGTGCT